CTGTTCCCTTGTTTGAACAACGGTCTGCAACTTGCTGTCACAGCAAACTGGTGTTGATCCAAGGGCACTCGCTGCCAAGCGAGGAGGAAGCAGGAAATTCAAGCAGGGCAGCACGAAGGAAACACACATCACTGAGGCCAAGTGTACAATGGTCTAGGGGTCCACACTCGGATCATGCTCGGGGCACTGCACAGCTGTCTGCCCAGGACAAAAGCAATAATTATTGCTTCAAATGGGAAAAAAAAAGCAGTTTCTTCTCTCAAAGAGCAGCCCAGGCAGGACTTTGTGATGCTCCTCTCATGCTGAGCTAGCAGCCTCGCCAGCTCTGCAGCTGGACGCTGCACCTTTAGCTTCACTGGTGCTTCTTAAAATTGGAAGGATTCAGTGAAAAATCTCTTTCAGAAAAACACAGAAGGCGTTGGAGACACTATTGGAGAGGACAGTTTGCAGGCAAGAATCACAGAATACTAGGAGCTGGAAGGCACCTTGAAAGCTCATCCAGTCCAACCCCCCTGCCAGAGCAGGATCACCCAGACCAGGTCACACAGGAAGGTGTCCAGGCAGGTTTTGAATGTCTGCAGAGAAGGAGACTCCACAACCTCTCTGGGCAGCCTGGGCCAGTGCTCTGTCACCCTTAGTTATCAGTGATAGAAAAGTCAGGGCCTGAGCAAGGAACTGCTCTTATCTGATGTTCCTCCCACAACTCTGGTTTCACCGCAGCCCCAGAGCCCAGCGGTGCCGCCACCAGCTGCACAGGCAGGGAAGAGCCAGGAGCCAAAAGCCGCTGCAGAAGGGGAAGCACAGGTCAGCGGGGTGGGTAAGAGCCTCCGCATGACAGACTAATCTCAGTCAAGTGTTCTGCAGACGTCACAGCCGAAGAGGGATTTGGAGGAGGTTAATGCAGTTGCTTTGCGACACGCGGGGGATCTCCCACGGAGGAGGTGAGGCCGGCAGGGAAGTGCTTCGACAGAGCAGTGGCCAGCATCATCAGCCAGCAGTGAGATTTGCCAGTTCCAAAGTGAATGAGCAGTAGCAGGCGCAGCAAAGGCAGCGAGGATGTAAAGCTTAATCCCGAGCTGGTAAAGAGGGAGAAACCAACGGAGAAGCACAACTAATGACAAGCTCTCAACAGGCTGCACAGCAGAGCATCTTCAGCCTGCAGCGAGCCCAGGAACAGCCGGGACATCTTAAGGGATGTTCTGATGTTGGACAGAGAGGCTGTGACATCTCAGTGGGGACAGGACATCTCAACACCGATCCAGCCGGTCTTGTTTAGTGCAGTGCAAGCTGTAGTAGGAGCAAAAACTGGCCACAAGCAGGCACCCAAGCAGTGTGTCCACCCGACAGCAAGTGGGTTCACTTTACACGCTGCCGAGGGACGTGCCCTAGCTAACGTGCCACGGGCCCACGGCACTCCCAGCACCGGGGCAACGCACTGGCTGGAGCCTCAAGCAATGCCCGGGCAATGCCAGGCCCGGCTGTCCGGGAGCGGAGCTGGAGCAAAGAGCTCTGCAGTGCTGCTCCGAGTGCACCAGAGGGGAGAGCTGGGGCCGAGACACGGGGCTGGGGCGGCCTGTGGAGATGGAGG